ACAGAAAAGAGGAGGGTGAAGAGGGTGTAGGAGGAGGCGGCAGTGGGGTCCTAGGGAGGAGGGAGAGAATTGCTATGGGGTTAAGGAAGGAGTGGAGTCAGGTGATCAATAGGCTCTGGGGAAGGGTCAGCTCCATGACTGTATGTTCTAGATGGAATATTCAGTAGAGTGTCACAGAGGACAGTCTACACATGGGAGAGTAAGGCTAGTGTGAAGGACTGGTAGAGGAAAGGACTTGGAGAGCAGGGCAGGACCTTGTGGCCTGGGCTGGCTAAAGATGGTAGAAGCCCCTGGCTTCTATGGAGCTGGAGTCGTGGTCCTTTACTGCTCCCTTTCTCTCTGATCTGTTCTGTTCACTGAGGGCCAGATGGCCACACACCTGGCAGCCAGGCCCTCCTTGTAAGGGCAGGTCAAAAGCCTCTGTCTCTTCCATCCCAGAAGAGGAAAGGCTTCTGGGATGGCCAAAAAAGGAAACCAAGAGAAATGGGAATTTTTTGATTCAGATCTGTGGGCAAGAGCTAGAGAAGTGTGGTCAGCTTCTTGTGACACAGTCAGTCACCATGCATGAGGTGAAATGAGAGATGAACAGTCAGTTGGGGCTCCAGTTAACATCAGGGCCATCTACTCTCATGACTGCCCCCTGCAGGCTGAGCCTCATAGCCTGCCTGGCCTGGTGCTCCTTAAAGAAATGTGTGCATTTTACTCTGCTTCCCTCAAGTGCCTAGAACCCCACCTTCATCCCAGATAGTGATCTCCTTTCCAAAAGGATCAAGGTCCCTAGAAGGGAAAGCTGGTCAGAGGTAGGGTACCTGCCCTGTCCTCCAAAACAGGGATGGACTAGAAGGAATTTCTGCTTCCCTTAGAGTCTACGGAGAAAGAACACAGCAGGCCTCCCACTTAGAGAATCCTCTCTACAGTCAGGAGCTGGTGGGGAAGGCTTTAGTGTCCCTGGACCCCGCCATAGCTTCCTTTAGGGAGCTCTGACAGGCCTACACTGCTGAGCTACCTATTCAGGGACAAGTGGCCCACCTCAGAGAGCCCCCCTCCTTCAAGAAACCTTGCTGAAGTAAGATGTGGTAGGTGTACATCTTTAACCCCAGCACCAGAGAGGCAGAGGCAGGCAAATCTCTGTGAGATCAAGGGCAGCCTGGTCTACACAGCAAGTTCCAGGCCAATCAGGGCTACTTAATGAGACTTGTCTCAAAACAAAAGGGGGGGCCTTGCTGGACTCTAAGTCAAGGCACAAGCTGATTCAACACTGTCAAATAGTTGCATTTCTTGCCCCTTCCCTCTTCCATCCAATTCCTGCCCCTGACCTCTCAGCTAGCTGCTTCATCCAGGAAGCCCCCATGGCTACCATCTGTACAGGCCCTGTCACATTCCCTCTGGCCCATGTAAAGATTTATCTGCCTAGTCTTCCTATCTATGAGGGGACCAACTCATCTAGTTTCTCTGCTGGACCCTCAAGCCCTGCCCTAGTACCAACACAAAGTTGGACTCAGAAATGAATATGTTGGCTTGAGGTCATAAGCCAACAGGCCACTTCCCCCAACTGATCCTTGACCTTCGGCCCATGACAGAATAAGACAAAAAGAGCACAAAACTCAAAGATTTCCCCTAACCTCCCAGGTTTCAGTTACTTAACATCCATTAAGATCTGAACAGGCTACCACAACATCTCTGCTCAGCCCTCCTTTCCCAAAAGTATTATGGTACAGAAATGAATGAGTCCCTACCTCCAACCTCCTTGGACATTTGAGGAAACTGAGGCCCAGAAAAAGACCCACAGTCACACAGCAAAATAAGGCCACAACAGTTGGACCAGAACGGGGTTCCAGACCTCCCACCCCAACACTTAGTCTGCACATCTTCAACATTCAGGATAGAGCCATCATAGAACTTGGTAGAGAGCTTCTGGGTACCTCATCAAGCACCACTCTCAGCTTAGGAAAACCCCCTTTCCCCTTGAGGACTGCCCCCCCCCAGTTCTACAAGGGGAGTTCACGTTGAAGGTGATGAATACATCTAAGGTCCCAAGGCAGCAGGGATTTCCACTGGAAATGCTGATGTTTGGGGAGCCCCAGCTGTGACCTCATCCCCTGGAGGAGGTGACAACAACCCCCTACCCTGGGGAGTGGCCTCATAATGGCTCCCCAGCAGCCACCAAGTCAACAATAGCATCCTGTTGTTTAATTGGACCAAAGGGGTAAGAACCAGCTGGGCAGGTAGAGACTGGAACCTGGACTGTTTCCCTTCTGTATGGTCGGCTCGCTCTGATTTGGGGGGATCAGAACTCCCTGAGCTTCTCCATCTCTTCCAATCATTGATGGATTTGGGGAAGAGTGCACAAGTTACACAAGCATGCCAACCTCTTGCTACCCTCTGCCCTCACCTGGTATCCAAGCACCTCTTGCCACTGCTTGAAGGGAGGTCTGAGTCACACATTTATAGTATTGACTGACTCAGGTGTTAATGATGCCCTGGCGGACAATCCTCAGAGCCCTTCCTGCTCTAGCAAGCAGAGGGTCAAAGACAGGTACAGAGCCCAAGGACACCCAACAGATCTGTGATGGAAAACCCCATCTCCCAGTCCAAGTTGCTCTGAACCAGGCCTTCAACTGGCTGCAAAGGCAGCAACTTTCTTAACAAATGCAGTCTAGGATCCTCCCAGAGTCTTCTGCTCTAATCATTCCCTAAGGTGTGTGTGTGGGGGGGTCCAAGCAGCAGAAAATAAACTTCCAGTCCTATTCCAGACCCTGTATCTGTCCTGGCTCAAAACTAAAGTCTAACTCTGTCTTGTAGAGAAATGGCTCTAGGATCACCACCATCCCTAATCTAGTCACTCCTGGAGGCTGCTGTAATATTCCATCCCCTGGTGGACAGGACTCTAGGCTTACTTCAAAGCCTGGGAGGGTCCCCCTCTCACTCTGTGCCTGGGGTTTGCCCTTCCCAAAATCAGTACTATCTGACTGCCATGTGTCACCCCATAGGAGACAGGAGGCAGCTGTCAGCCGGGCACACTATCACCAGCTGGTGACCCTGGGGGGTGGGGGGCAGGTGAATGGCAGGGCCTGTCTGGTCAGTGGGGCACCTGGCACTAGTGAAGGAGATTGCAGACTGTCCTTGGGAAAGATTGGTGAGTGGCTAATAGACCCCAGCCAGAGGGGGGGTCAATAGTGCATTACCAGTGCGGTCACAGCGGTGAAGTGCAGGCAAGGGAATGGGGGTCATGGAGATGGACTGGGAACTTGAAAAGTGGGCAAGAAGGCTGAAAGCAGCTTTAAATAGCCTCAGGGTAAAGACTAAGTGCCAGAGACAGAGAGGTACGCATTAAGTGCTAACAAGTAGTTGTGCATTAAGTGTGTGGTGAGGGGTCAAGGAAAGATTTGGGGGGACAAGCACAATCGAATGCCTGGGGTCTGATATAAAGGGAAATCCCAAGAACACTCAGACATAACCGTTTGTTCCCTCCAGAACACTCATGTGCTATGCTAAGACATAAGGGGACCCAAGCAAGGGAGAACACTGGGAAGGCAGAGGAAGCCTAGCTGAAGTGGGTAATTGAGGGGTGTGCAGCCTGCTGCCATGAGTAGGAGGTCAGAGCTCCCACTGCACCACCACCCCCTCCCACCAGGAACACCTCTGGCTGGGTAACAGAGCTGGAGAGCAGAGTGTGTCGTTGACGGTTGGAGAACCACCTAAATCCATCTCCTCTTCCTAACCCTGAACCAGGATTGGTCCAGCATTAGATCTGAGCCCCTACCCACACCATGAATACCCACACTGCCCAGTGACCTTGGGCAAGTCACATTCCCTCAGCTGCTGCGGCAGTTCGGGCCACTCATTTTATGTGCCCCCCCCAACTCCCTCTGCTAAGAATACCTGCCCCAGATAATGCTCAGACTTCCTCAATCCCTACAAACTGCCAAGGCATCAAAGGGTTCCCAATGGGGACAGACTAAACCAGTACCCCTAGCCCCTGCTGTGAGTCTCCCACCGCCATGAAGGGAGGGGCTGCAGAGACGCCAAATTTGGGGACAGAGCCGAGTTGGCTGGGGGCGGGGGGTGGGGAGGCATTTGTGTGCAATGCAGGGGAGAGCTCAGTCCCTAGCGGCAGAAAGCCTCAAACCCCAACCTAGACAGCTTTCTGTCCCATCTTACACGGTCTAAAACTGAGACGCCCCTGGGGAAGCCTCCAGCCCCCAGCGTTCTCATATACATCACAGCTCTAAGGCTCACTCACTCCCCAGATCTGCAGCCTGGGGGTCCCAATGGCCTCGCCCCACCCAATGAGCACTGCCCCCCTTCCCCATGCTAGCACCTATTTCTGGTGACAACTGCCACGTGCGGGAAAGGGGGGAGCGGCCAGTCCCGGCATTACGGAGACAGCGCCCAGGTGCCCCGAGCCCCTGCACCACACCGTGTTCGGGATCACCGCAGGGTGTCCACCCCCTCGACTGGTCCGCGCTCCGGACCGGGGCGGGGGCGGGGGCAAGCGGCGGGGTCTTTGTTCCCGCAGCCCAAGCGCAGCGGCGGCGGCAACGGGTCCGCGCCCCCTTCAACAGCCCAGCCTGAGCCCCGCGTGCCAGCACAGCCCGCAGCTTACAACGAAGGGGTCGGGGTGAGGAACCTGGCCAAGGACAGGGTCCTGCGTAAAAGACCAGGCGGCGGTGGACCAAAGAGGCTGGAGACTGAGCCAGGGGCCCGCACCCTCCCCCGCGCTCCGGCGCTGCGGCTGGAGCTCCTGGCTGCCGGCGGACTTGGAGCGCCACTTAACCTGAGCTCGGGCCCCAGCCGCTCGCACGCTGCAGCGCTCTGGCGGGCTCCGGCGTGACAGTACGCACACTCACACACACTCACCCTGACCCACACGCTCCCTTCGGGGACAGCCGGAGACCCGCAGAGCTGCGCACACGCACTCTCTCCGGGTGCCGCACACTCTGCACCCGCCCCGCGCAGCGTCCGATCCCGCGCCCCGCCGGTCGCGCGGCGCCGCCTACCTTCCCAGACGGCGAAGATACGGGGTCCGCTCCTCGAGTGGCCTTGGGCGGAGGCGGCGGCCGCCCAGAGCAGCAGCAGCAGCCGCAGTCGCAGCGGGATCCCGGACCGAGCCGGCGGGCTGAGGACGCGGGCGCGCGGAGCGCTGGGGGCGGCACGTCCGGGAGGAGGAGGCGTCATCCCGCAGCCCCGGAGCGACAGCGGCAAGCAGCCGAGACTGAGCCAGCGCCCGGCCGCAGGCAGAACCAAGCGCCAGGAGGCGGAGTCAAATGCCTGACCCCACCCCACCCCTCCCCCCCGCCCCTCGCAGCCTTTTCTAGCTTTCCTGGTGGCCCCAAGCGTGTAGGGTGCCCGCTGCTAGGAGAACCTTCGCCACCCGCTCGAGGCCAACTCCACTGGGAGAACCCAGCTGCGAGGAAGACAGACTTGTGATCTGTCATGAGGGCCAGGCCCTATCCCTTCTCTGAGCCTCTGTTCACTTCCCTCGCCCCAATGAAAGGAATGGCCTAGGAAGTCGTTAAGGACCTCTCAGAGCACACTGATGAGCCTAACACCAGACCACCCCGCTATAGCCAACCAAGTGGTTTGTAGTTAGAGTACCACGGTTCTCCGGTTCTCCGAAGATGAGCTTGCCAGAGTGGGACCCAGCTCCCTGCTGAGCCTATCAGCAGGAGCAAGATGCTTTCCCCAGTGGGGGAAGGGACAGGGGAGATCGATGATGTGTGGGGAGCCCACAACGCCCCACTATTGCTCTGAGAGAACACTGGGAATTTTTCATCTTGGCCTGGCTCCCTCCCCTCCCTCTCCTTTCTTCTCCCTTCCCCAGCCAGCAGCCTTCTGGGCTGCCTCCCCCCAGCCAGCTGGTGTATGCTCAGAAAATCCAAACTCATTTCCATGTGAGCTGAGGGGGATATAATTAGGAAGGCCCCTTCCCCAAGAAGAATGTGAGAGGACACATTGTGCATGCCCAAGACTCAGTCAGGGAGGAAAGGTCAGACCAGCTTGAGAAGATCGCTCTCTGTCTCTGCCTAAGGCTCAGCTATCTACCACCTACCTCAGTGGTGGTTCCCTTGGAGGGTCCAGGCCCAGTTCCTCTGCAGTCATTTGAACAGTCCAGAAAACTCTGCATCAGCTCATCGTGTCACAGCTACCTTGTCTACCCCCGTGTAAAAGATCTTCCACCTCCCTCAGAGCAGAGATGGTTCAGACTCCCCACCTATGCTTGTACCCCAGGAAGTCATGACTGGAAAATCCAGCCAGCTCAGCAGGTCCCAATCTGGTGCTTACTGGATATCTATGGAAGGTGTGCTGCACTGAGAAGAGGAGGAGGCAACAGAAGTGAACAAAGGTTCAGCCTTCAGAACCCACAGACCTAGACTTGCTTAGCACCATGAAGACACAAGCAGACACTGGGCAGGATGCCCTGACCCCAGAGCCAGCCCTCTGCATTGCTCCATGGCCAGGAAAGTTTTGCTCTCTGGGGGTGAGGGTGGGGGTGTCCTGACCACATACATAGAGTCACTAGCTTCATGATGCCCATGGTTGCACTGCCCCCAGAGAGGAGGCTGCGGTCATAAAGCTGCCACCATGACCAACCCATGTTAGCATCCAAGAATGACACTTGAATTCTAGTCCAGGAACTTACAAGTATGGTCTTCAGTGTCTTCCATTTCTATGAAAAATTAAGGCAAGTTAAGACATCACCCATCCCTGCCTTTAAGAACTAAGAATTCTAATGCATTCAAAATAAAAACATTACCCATGTGCACAGTAACTTATAAAATGCATTCTACTTCCGCCTACATCACTCCTGCCAGACCCACTTTTTTTTTCCCCTTCACTGAGTAAGGAAGCATAATTCCATCTTAAGGAAGAAACTGAAGTAAGGGGACAGGGATCTGCCTGAGGTCTAGGTAAATGAGTGGACCAAGATGGGAAGCCAAGTTTTCTGACTCTAGTAACAATAGCTAACACTGTAGTTACTGTTACATGCTATGTGCATTTAACTGCCTCATTTTAACTCAATCTTCATCATCCTGAGATAGATGCTGTTATTCATCTCTTTATAAACATGGAAATTAAGGCAGAAAAAGGAATATAATATACCTAGGATTGCTCAGCTGGTTGGAGGCAGAGCTGGGACTGAAACTCGGGTGGCCTCTCTAGGCTTCTCTCAGTATAATGTTCTCTTGGGCTACTGCCTCTGATCTATGGTCAGTCACAACCTAGTCCAAACCAACCTCAGAAGGGCCCAGACAGGACTCGGGTCATGATGTGCTTTAGCAGAAGGGCAGGCCAGGGGTCAGACTCAGCCTCCCAAGCAATAGAGCAGCAGGTGGAAACTGGAGGTAGAAGCCAGAGAATTTTTTTTCCAGACTGCTGGTTGGAGTTGAGAAACACAGTAGTGCCGAAGACTATTTTCTCTCCAAGACAGCCAACCTGGGGACAAAGGGCCGGGCCAGGTGGCAGCCACCTGATTTAAAATAAGAGCTCTATGGAGGGCTGGCTCTTGGGCCTCACCCAAGGCATTACCCCAACTCACAGCCAGTGGTGGGAAATGGGCCAGCAGAGGAAACAACAGATGCGAATGATGACACGTCTGAAGGGGAGGTATATCCTTGTGCTTCCCTTCCCATGACTCCACAATAGGAGGAGAGGGAGAGGAGGCAGGGAGAAATAATGGAGGAGCTTCTATCTATCTGAACCCTGTCATCAACAGAGGCACAGCCAAATCTAAGAAGGGCCCTTGGGGGCTGGAGAGATAACTCAGCAGTTAAGAGCACTGATTGCTCTTGCAGAGGACCTGGGTTCGATTCCCAGCACCCACATGGCAGCTGCGAACCCTCTTTAACTCCAGTTCCAGGGAAATTTGACACCCTCTTCTGACCTCTGCAGCATTGCACAAACAGGTGCACTCACATACATGCAGGCAATACACTCATACACATAAAACAAAGATAAATTTTAAAAAAGAAGGGACCTTGGAGAATCAAGGAAATTGGACACATTAGATTAGAGCTTCATGACCCTGGAATAGCAGAGATCCTGAGAGTCCACCCCAACATTCTGACTTGAGCCTCTCACCTTTCAGGGCCGAACCCAGTCTATTCCTCCATTCCCAAGCTTTCTTCAGCCATGATTCCATGTCTACACACTCTTTGTAAGAGTGACCCACACCAACAAGAGACCTGTGGGAGGTCTCAGGATTCAGAGAGGAGGCATGACATGCACACATTATCCCTCACAAACTGCTGTCTTTCATGAATACAATGATCCAAGAATCTCAATTCCTGAGAGAGTATCAGTAACTCTCAGGATATCCAACTCCTGGTAGCCTCTTCATGCTGGAGGCCATCCCTGCTATGAGGTCTCAAAGCTTGGTGTCCACCCAGGCCTCTTTAACAGCCACAACAATTACCTGCCACCATGACCTCTCATTGTACGAGGCAAATAGACCAGACAGGTCATGAGAGTAAGTGAGCAGAGTGGGCTTATCTTGGGAAACATGGTTCACAGGGCAGCTGCTACTCTGCTCCAGACCATGGGAACCATAGTAGGTGGTCTGGTCTGGCTTTTCCAATGAAGTTGAATCTTAACTCTTTGCTGAAACTCTCTGCTTTAAAAGTATAAGCATTTTTTAAAAAAATATGAAAGCTCAGTGCCTTTAATTCCAGCACTTAGGAGGCAGAGATAGGTTGATCTCTGTAAGACTGAGGCCAGCCTGGTTTACATAGTACATTCCAGAATGCTGGGGCTACAGGGAGACTCTGTCTGAAAAAGAAAACAAAATTATCAGCAAATAATTCAGAGGTTAACAAGTATATATAAGGTCAAATAAAAACAGGTTTTAGACCACATCTGGATCTCCAGTACACCACATTGTCTATTGCACAGGCATGGCACAATGGCCATTCTCCATGGCCAGATGTCTAGAAGACTAAGTCACAGCCTAGGTGGACCCGGCAAGGAGTGCAGAGGAACCCTCTTCAGGCTGTGCAGACTCTGGTACCTTATCTCACTCTCCCCACCACCAAACCTTCACCAGGATGTTCAAGCACCTGCTTCCATTACCTAAACCAGCTCAGAGTTTACCACCTTCCAGTCATCCACTCAGCCCACTGTGAATGAAGAACATTTCAAAATGACTACCCATTTCCTTAGCCCTCCTGGTTAGAACTGCCCAGTGACACCCTATGCCTATGCCTATATCTCTATCATCCTAGGTGCATTTTTATTTGGCCCTACCCTAAGTTGTCAAAACCCAAGTCTCACTAGCCAAGTTAAATTAGACAAAAATGTAAAAAATCAGAGGAATATATAGTGAGGGCAGGGGATTAGCAGAGAAGGGCTAGATTTGTTCACTTCCATCAGGGCAATCAGCTCCCTTGAAATAAGATTGGGCTAGGACAGCTCAGCATCCTTAGTCTGCACTGGGCTTGTGATGAGAGCGCCACCTGGTGTCCACTCTGGGACGGTCAAGTCTTAAGAGGCTAAGGACAAACTCTCAAACTTTCCTAGAGAAAAGCCCCTTCCTTCAGCCCATTCCTACATCCCCAAATCCATCTCTGAGCCTCCATTCTTGGTGTCCAAGGCCTGGGGCAGACCACACAGTCACATGAAGTCACATGGGACCCATTAAGTGTAACAAAATCTGACTAGATGGCACTGGAAGAGCAAAGTCCCAGATTGGCTGCTAAGTTGTTAGGCAATGCCCTAGCCTAAACCAACCTTCTCTTTTGTAAAAACAAGATGCTCTAGTACAGGCTGGTCTCAAACTTGCAGTAGTCCTCCTACCTCAGCCCAAGTACTGGGATTTCAGGAAGGAGCCACCATGCCTTTTCAGGCCTGTTTCTTTGCTTACAAAATGAAACAAAGGAGCTAAAGCAGTTCTGACCTATCTCCTCTCTTTATCAGGACAAAGCAGTCTCATCCTACCTTCTGCATTTCTTTTTATTTTTATATATTTTTATATTTTTATTGTTTTCCGGAGGATAGAGTCCCAGGACCCACCCAGCTCTGATGTGATCCTTGTCCTTCATGGGACTTTATTGGTGAGGAGATGCACATGCAGACCCATGTTCCCTATAAGACTTCACTTCTCATAAAAGCAATAACACAGGGGGCTGGAGAGATGGCTCAGTGGTTAAGAGCACTGACTGCTCTTGCAGAGGATCTGGGTTCGATTCCCAGCACCCACATGGCAGCTATGAACCATCCTTAACT